TGCACAGCGACCTCATTAGTTTGTTTATTAGCTTGCAAGCTATTACATACATCTATTTCAACTGTTACAGCAGGCTCCGTATGAGCCTGCTCTTCGGCAAATTTATTACTAACTTTTCTTTTACCACGTCGATTACTAGTACTAGGCAAATTTGAATTTAAAAGAAGTTGACGTAAAAAATCAGATGCAATTAATTGATTATAATGTATTTCGCATAAAGAATATTCTTCTAAATGCATTTGAATTTGAACCAACTCAGAAAAAAAGGTATGATACAATTGAAGACGACTTTTTGATTTTTCACTATTCGCATGCCTTTTAGTTTGTGATTCTTTCGTTTCACATCCTAACAACCCAACACCTTCATATTTTTCAAAAAAAGTGGCAAAGACACATGGTAGGTCTTTTGCTTTTGGTCGTTGGTTAGCTGCCACTAATAAAAAAAAAATTATATGAAACTAAGTGTTAGTATCAGCGATTTTGATATAAGTACATAGTGTTTTGGAAAATTCTGCTTTTATCCCACATTCTTTTAAAACTAGTTTTTCGTCTTCAGCAAGAGACGAAAAATATTTAGAAATGAATAAAGGCCTTTTTTCGAATGAGAATGGATTTTGCCAAAGAACAGGAATTGACATTTTGCACCAATGTTGGCTTACAAGTATGCACGAATGTAATCAAATAAATTTCTACTTACTAATTCTTATATTCTCAAGCCAATACTGCAATACAGAAGTAATACTAGCGGCTATATAATACCAAAATGGTATATTAATAAAAAGAGGAGGACCGGCGTTAACAAAGTAACGATCAGGGCAGAAAGAGGGACAGCGTTTAGGCTCAGGGCAGAAAGAGGGACAGCGTTTAAGCTCAGGGCAGAAAGAGGGGACGGCGTTTAATAAAGTAAAGTTCAGGGCACTTATAATAATGAAGGGGACCGCGACGCAAGATCAGGGCACTTATTTGTGCGTATTCCACTAGAAAAAAAGAAAAAAATTAAACTTTAATAAATTTTATAATTTCAATAGCTTAAAAAAGCCCCCGCGTTTGCTATACTTATAATTTTCAAAAGCGAGTTGATTATAGAAAAGTTTTGACTGATTATAAAACTACTTGCTTGGAACTTCCTAGTATCATAAGAGCTCCTCATGTTATAAAGACAATCCGTGTAAATCTATCATGTGAAACTCATGAAAACGTTCAAAAAATTTAATAAAAATTGGATGATCAATTTCTAGACTATGTATGTGTAATGAATTAAATTCTAGAATGATCTACCACATAGTACGCCAAATATGGAAATAATCCCGACTGAAATATATGTGCATACAAAACAAAAAAAAAAAAATCTACTGTAATACTTATTTTGGCTTTGGATTTTTGTATTTGAAGCTATTTGATTTATTTGGATTCTTTATTTATTATTAGTAATAGCTTGTAGAGCTAATTTGATTTTTTTTATTCTAATTGGGCTACTTGTTATAAAGTTATTTGAAGATTATAAATATTTTTATTGTTTTTGTCTTGGTATTCTCTAAAAATTGCAGCAAGTTCTTCATGCAACCTTACAAGTAAGGCATCCTTATTATTATTATTATTTATAGAAAAATTATTATTATATAAATTGTAAAAATTAAAAGAACTAGATTCTATAAGTAGTTGGTTGTTTTTTGTATTTTTATTATTTATAGTAAATGATTTTGTGCTAAAATAGCAAATATATAATTGTTGTACAGTCTGCCCTTCATATAGTCACTCTTTACATAGTTATACCCTCTTTATAAGCACAATAATTTTTAAAACAAACTTATATAAAACATAGAAAATTTGATCTCTATATAGGCACAATTGCTTATAAGCACTGAATTTCTTAAAACCAAGAGCATTGACTGTAATTAAAAATTACAAAAATTACAAATATAAAAAAAAATATTAAAACAATCATTATCTGTTGCAAAATTTTTTTTAACTAAATACAGTACTTTATATTGTTATTTGTTAGAGAAAATACTATTTACTTATTAAACTAAATGTTATACAGTAAGTATTATTATTATTATAATATTAATATATATAACTTTATATTTTTTTAAATACTGTACTGTATATTGTTAATACTGTCACAAATAGTGCTTGGCAAAATCAAACTTTTTTTGATACTCAAATACTATACATGTAATAAGCTAACTTTTAAATCAATACAGCTTACTGAATTATCATATTATCATATTGCTATATTGATTTAAAAGCCAGATCATCACATGTATATATTTGAGTTTAATTTTGCCACTATTCTAAACTAAAATTCTCTAATGCAATTATTAATATTCTCATTTTTACTTGTTGGGATCACATGCCAAACATTATGCTTTAAACGTGTATACTTTTGCTGTATTTAGATTACTTTACAGTAATTATTGTCAAATGTTATATATATCTTTTAGAACTAATCTAGATATCGCACCCCTGTGTAGCATTTATATTTTGCATTCAGGATGCGATATAATTATATATCGCAGATCAAAATTTGAAATGGTACGTACGTACAGTGTGTGAAATTCAATTTTTACTTTATGTTCTCACTGAGAACATTTTTCAAGTCCTTAATGTTCTCAATATAAAAAAATTAGCTTTGTATAATATCATGTGTTCTCAGATAGAGAACATATTTTAATAAATTATGTTCTTAAAATTTTATCAGTGTTCTCTGAGAACAGTGAGAACATTAAATTTCGCACACTAGGTACGTATTAGGATGTCCAGAATTATGCTGCTAAAGATACTAAATTATACTTGCTAATGCATTAAATTATGCTTTTTATGCTAAACTTAAAAAAATTTTTTTTAAAAAATAATAACAGCTGATGCTGGATTTGAAAATAGAAACCCTACTTAAATTCACATATATTCTTTATCAATTTTAACCAGGGCACAAAAATTTCGGCATGTCGTAACCTGCTTTTTTTTCGGTAAGAAACTCCTGTGAAAATAATATAGTATATTAATACTATAAAATTTCTAGCCGCTTTAGAACTACGCCGGAAATCACCAAACCCTAACTCAAATTTTTTAAAAAAAAACACCCTAAAAATTTTTTAAAATTCATTAAAATATATAGGTTCAAATTTTAGCATTAGTCAATTTTAGTGACAATTATATTGTATATAGTACTGTAGTATTACTATAATTTAGATATATATTATATTGTAAATACTATTATTAAAGTAAAACCTTCATAAGTATAATCTCTATAAGTGCATATCCTCTCTAAATACACATTTAAATTTGAGCCCAATTACAATCTTTATAAATATACTTTTTCTAATTGTATACATATTATTAAAGTTTGGTTCCAAGTGCGTGCACTTATAGAGGTTTTACTCTAATTGCACGTTGTTAAAGTTTGGTCCCAAGTGCGTGCACTTATAAAGGTTTTACTATATACGTACATAAAGCTTATCAGTTATATATTAAATAGCGATACATATTATACTGTAGTTATAATAAAAATTATACAGTATAACTTGATTATTTTTACGTATAAGTTTAGTAAATTAAATTTGTATGTTTAATTAAAGTCTATAATGCTGTATATATCTATATGGTTTATATTCAAAACCATTATATACTTTTATTAAATCTAATTGGGCAGTATCACTTCGTAGAAGTTTATTTCACAGACACCTTGTTTCACAGACAATCAATTTATAGACAAGGACAATTAATTTCATAGACATTTCATTTTGTAGACAATCTTTAACACTGATTCAGAAGTTATTTGCTATTAAAGATTGTCTACAAAATGAAATGTCTATGAAATGAACTGTCTGAAAATTAATTGTCTTTAGTCTATGAATTGATTTCTGTGAAACAAGGTGTCTGTGAAATAAACTTCTACGAGGTGATACGGACCCAATCTAATTAACCCAATTTATGTTAAAGTAGGTTTAAAAAATATATTTATAAATTTGAAACAATCTAAAGCAACTCAAAGCAGGTTAAAACAACCTAAAAGTACGTAAAAATTAAAACAAAATTTAATAAAGTAAATTAGAAATTAATTAATTCAGAAGTTTAATATAATAATTAACTATATACAGTATAAATTGTATATATATAAGTATATATATATATATATATATTAAAAAAATAGATTATTAGTAATTTTTATGTATTTTTTTAAAAAAATTAGTAACGGTACTAAAGTCAGATTACTGTAATTAAATTAGTATACTTGTTATTAACAAAAGAAAAAAAGTACAGTACAGTATAACATCTTATTTTAATAAATTTTTTGATACTTATTGTTATAATTGCAGTATTAAAAAAAAGCTTACTTTGAATAGAGTAAAAAATGTAAAGATTTTTTTTAATATTTATAGTTTTTGCAATATAACATGAATTCACATAATAATTTACCAAAAAATTAATAAAGCCATTTATAATTATGTAAAATAAAAAACACCCTTTACTACACCAAATAATAAAATAGTCTAAAGAAAAATAAACAGTATAAAATTTTTTCATAAATTTAACCAAAAAAAACCCTTGCAACACTAATCCAACAAAATAACAAATGCACGTGTCTAGAAAGGTTGTTAATATTGTGAGGTAATAATAAAGTCGACCCAAAACAAAACACATATATATATTAATAATATAAAAACCAAAAAAATAAATTGGTTTAACATATGTTAAGTAGTAATAAACAAGAAAAATTAGCGAATAAAAAATTAAAATAAAAATAGTTATAAATTATTAATTTTTCTTGCCAAAAATTTTGCTGCCTTTTGAGACGCTACAGAAACAAAGAGAATTTTTAGTTTTATTTCTAAATTATGAAAGTGAATATATATCAGCTCAAAAAACATAGCAAACACAAATTATAAAACAGATAGCCACCTTGCGCTTCGATTGGCATTATATAATTCTTGGAATTCACGCTCTTCTGCTGCGAGCGCCAAACGTTGTTCTTCTAATTCTGCCATGAGTTGCTGTCGGCGTTGGTTGAGCTATTTTTATTTGAGTAAAGAAAAAAAGAGGTCAAGAAATTGGACAATAAAAAAAAAAAAATTTTTTTTTTTTGAATTACCTGTTCTTCTCGTTCCCTTAAGTTTGATTCTTTCTCTCTAACCTTCATTACAAAGTTTTGCCGCATTTCCTCTTCTTTCTTGATCATGTCTTCTGCCATACTTTGCTTACTTCTTTCAATTCTGTGTTCATAAGAATCATCACAAGCAAGGATCGATTCGGGACGACCACTAGAACGAAGTTTTTGGGCACGATAATTATGATAATGCACCGTATGACTTGTTTCAAGAAGATCATGAAGGGCATGTGTCATAAGAAGTTCACGGAGATGGATGAAATCACAATGCTGTTCGTTTTCAACTATTGACAAATAAGTTAATATTTTACAAGAGTCTAATAAAAAAAAAAGGATGAATAAACCACAGACAAAATATAAACTAACCTTCAACAATACCCCATCGATATGATCTTCCTCGTACCTTTTTTCCGTCAACATCCACAAATTGGTCACTGCCAATTACTGTGAACGGGATATATTTCTAAATAAATAAATAAATAAATATATAATAATAGTTAGTTAACATTAAAAATTGTTGTACAACCCAGAAATTATTAATAGATACCTCAAGGTCTTCAACGCTTTCCCGATCATCCGGGTATGCAGTTGGAAAAATTCTAATATCATTAGCTTCAATATCTCTTAATATCTATAATTATATAATAAATATGAAATTGTTGTTAGACACCGAAAATACAATAAATTTATATGAATTATCTATGAAACATCATTATTTATTACAAATTACGATATAGGCATACACACAGTTTTTTTAAATGCAGCCTTCTCTTCTTGTGTGAGGGTATCAGCTTTTGCGATAACTGGAATTACGTTTACTTTAGCAGATAAAACTTGAAGAGATTTAATATCAAGTTCTTTAAGACTAATTGAGAGAATATAGTTAGAAACTAAACGATAAAATTAAAAGGTAACACAAAAAATGAGACCTACGCATGACCAGTTGGTGGAATGAAGTATAAAAGAGCATGTATGCGAGTATCTGGAATGGCACGTCTAAATTCGGGACTACGTTCAGCGGTATGGTAAGCCTCAAATTGATTATCAATATACTCAACAATAGGATCAAGGCTATAATTAATTAAAGTATAAAAATGTTATTTTATCTATTTCTATTAAGCATAATTGAAATAAATGAGAAGTTAACATACTTGTGTTCACGATTAAGTTGGTCACCAAATCCAGGTGTGTCAACAACGGTAAGATTAAGGGTAACACCGTCTTCAACCAATTCTGAAAAATGAAAATAAATTTAATATATAAAGAATGATTAAAGGTAGTAGTAATCCATTTAGAAATACTAACCATAATGTACAGGACTAATTTCTACAGTTTGTGTGGATTGGGGATTTTTAGGATGGATTTCTTCTTTGAGAGGTGTATTGAATAGAGTATTCATAAAAGTAGTTTTTCCAAGACCACTCTCGCCTTTTTTATGTTAATGACAGGATTGATAATGAATATAAAGTTAATTATATAAAACATAATTTAATTGAATTAATCTTAAACTCGCCAATAATACATACCAACAACCATAATATTAAGAACATAAGGAGTTCTTTTTGTCTTGTTGAAACGTTGTCGAGGAAGAGCATCAATTCCAAGTGTATCCCGGAGGACTACATTTCGAGTTTGAGGAATCTTCCACGGACCAGGATCGGGGAAATAACCTCTAAAAGAATAGTTGACAAATGATTGGTAAACAGTATGTTTTATTTATATATATTAAAAAAAGCTTCGAGCTTCTAATATTAAATCTTGCATAAGCAAAACCCAATCTCATCGTGGTTAATAAAAGAGCTCATTAACATCGCGAAGCCCATCTTGTTGTATAAACACATTTATTTACCTGTGTTGAAGAGCGTATTCCTATTAAAAGTGAAGGTAAAAGTGATAAAGAGGCCGGTTATTTTACATATATTATTGTGAAGCAAAGTAGGAAAAAGGGTAAAAAAGAGTAGGCAATTAAACATACCAAAGGCATTGTATCGGCAGATAAGTAAAATAAGGGAGCGACTTTATCTTAGGAGAAACGAATGGAACAGGGATTGAAACTGAGTTGGACTTTATAGTTGGGAAACTTTTTTGTGGATTGGGATTGAACGGTTTTGTTAAAAACACCCTAAGGTTATAATATCAATATTTCTCCAGTCAAAAAGTCGGACAGATTCGCACGGCTATAATAAAATGGCTTTAAACTCATAGATACATGATTGGACACTGACATTAAAATTGGTAACATTCCATTTGTTTGGAGTGTTTGGAGTGCACAAATGTTTAATCGCATATCGAATGCTCTTCCTTTAAATATATTTTTTCTTGTATAACGCAAGGATGCATTGTTTAACATAAAAAGTTGAATTTGGACGAATAAGGGAAATTCTGCTGCATCCATTGTTGTTCACGTTTTCTAAACAACTACGTACTGTTGTACTGTATGTAAACATATATTGATATTTTTTTTTATATATATATATATATTTTATATAAATATAATTACTTTTTTTGCATTTTTTTTCGATCTTCCCTTTTTACCCCAATCTCTTTTACATATGGAATAAAAGTCATGTTTGGTGGTAATTTATCTTCGTTTTCCGTGAACCAAGCAGCCACCGGGTGACCGATTCGAGGGTCTTTCTTCTCTTCACCCAAATAAAACTTGACAGCATCACCAACCGTTTCAATAAGATTAAGTTCAAGGTTTGGAATATTTCTATTTGTTAAAGACATACAATCTCGTAGAATCTATGAAAACAAAGTGTATTAATATTATTTTGTAATGAACGATAAGTTAAAGATTTGTATGAATGACCATAATGATCATACCTCGAATTTAAGTTTTGGATCATTTAGTTTGATGTCCATCCACTTATTTTTATCAGCTAATTTTACATGTTTTTGAACAATATCATGGATCTTATTCTTAATTTCATCAGGTTCTGTTATTTGTCTGCAAGTTTTTTTTTGGGGGGGCATTCATAAGTAATCTTTTTTTCAAAATAATAATAATTCATAAAATTACGACGTATACCGTACAGTGCGGACCACGGTACCCTGGATACGATTCATTCTGCAAGTAAAAATCCAATTTATTATACAAAAGAGGGTATTATATAGAAAATCACAACATGTGTAATTGCATGTGTTATTTAGACTTATATAGAAATACACTAGTTAGAGACAAGTTAGCAAGATTCGGCGTGCATAAAGTCCAAGCATAGATGTTGATCATCTTATAATTATTATCGTGAGTGTATAACGATAAGGTTCGTTTTCTTATTAAAAATCATCATGAAAATTCTTTAAAACTAGTTTATGTCAAGGTTAGTATTCAGATAAGATTTAAATACTAGCGCTAGTATAACTTTTTTTTGTTATAATATGAAAGATGGTTCCTTATACAAATTTTTGAAAATCGTCAATAATTATATTTTAATTCAGAAATTAATCTTTTTTAATGGCTCTTGAAATAAACTTGAAGTATCTAATTTTATAGATTATAACTGTCTTAAAAAAGTATAACGTAACAGGTATGTAATTATATTTTATTCTACTTTAAAAACGGACGTTTGGAATTTTCCTGATCGCAATTACACGGTTAATTTGCTATCGATTATCACGTGGGTTTATAATTGTCCGAAGGACATTACGGGAGAGTCATAGTGACCTGGTTGTGTGTGTGTCCGCAAATTAAGGGTTTTGATTGGTTGATCTGATAAAAACTAACATTTGCTCCGAAAATACCCATTGTCGGACTGATCCGTGACAGTCCTTCGGACCTTAAATGGATTCCATTTACCTAGTTTTATGGGGATACTGGTGTAGCGGAAACTAATTAAAGTTAACCATATGTCCAATTGGATAGTTCTAATAGTTTTTTAATTGGACTTAAAGCTAGTACAATGACACTAACGTAAAAGTACTCTAAACTGTACACGTATAAATTCAATTGTATAAAATTGATCAATCACGGTCTATATCATCGATTTTGATTGCGGCTGGAGATTTGCGCACAAACCTGACACATATTTAAAGATATATATCTGTATATAAATAGCCTTGGTAGTATAGGTTTCATCGACTGACTAAATTGAGAATTAGATAAAAGTGTCCAAAATTCGAATGTGCAAATCTAATCAGTGACCCGCATATTCAAAATTTTGGAAATTATATAAAATCAAATTTCTATTACAAATACGGCTTAAACTCCAACGCTTTTGGAATGGTTAGATATAGCTTTAAAGTAATTAAGAAAGTAATTCTCTATAGTTCATTTCATTGCCACTATTATTAATAATACAATACAGTAGATGTGTTGACAAGAAAAATGCTGTGTAAAAAATTATCAAAAAATTTTTTAAATACAAGTATTTAAAAACCCTACATATACATGGTTATTCAATCATAATTTTTTTATGTGTCTTTTTCTCCAAACTCTAGCCACGGGGATGTCGTATCTAAAGTTACCATCTATCTAAATAAAGTTGATCTGACTAAAATTAAGCCCCTGAAATTAGATCTTCATACAAATAATTCCGGTTAGATGCAACTTTATATCTAAAGTTGCAACTTCAAATAGATAGTAAATAAGCTTTGCAAACATTGCCACCCATTAAAATTTCACTGACTAGTCAAATTCAAGATCAAAAATTTTTTTTGTGAAATTTTTGAACAGTTTAAGGGTCTTAATAGGCATAAGCTTATTCACACTATAGGTTGTATCGAGAATTTTGTTTTTGCATAAGTATGCTTCATTAAGATTTGTTTTGGGAATATATAATCTCCAATAGAATATTTAAAAGAATATTTGCTATTTTTTCATGAATTTTCATTTAATGGTAATCATTTATGATGTAATTATTTTAGATTTATTTCAGTTTTTAATTAATCCAGTATCGATCTCTAGTCTTGTATTATTGGGCTAATGAAGTACTGTGATAATAAGAACTTTACAGAAACCCATAAATTTGCTTAAATAGAATTATAATATAATTGACATATTTTTATTATATATGGGGGTGAGTTAATAGAAATCAAGCAAATTTTTTATAATAAAAATTTTTTATAACTTTAAGCAAGAATAATTTAACAA